ATCCGGGAAACGAACCTAGGAAACCTCGTCCCTCGGCTTCGGAACTGGGGGAGTGGTGTTGGGGACATGGCTGAGCTGGCCATGAGGCCCCTGGCCATCTATCACAACTCAGCCACGTCGGCACAGTGTGGCCGGGCTATGGCATTGCCATGATTCCACCGACCACATCAGCTGCGCCCCACGGATATGCCCACTTAACGGATAGGGATGGGAAGACAACTCCGTCGAGGAGTAGGACTCTACCCCTTGTAACCTCGGCGGGGAAGTCTGCCCCAATTTCCCTGGAAACCTACTCTGATTAGGATACATACCCTTTGGCTATAAAAAGGTACTCCATGCTCGAGGTAAGGGACTTTTGACTTGGAACACCAACATTGCTAATTAGCCCTGACCAACATCCCTATAGCTCGGCCCGGCCATCCACCACCTCCTACTGACTTGAGCGTCGGAGTACTTACCCGGGGGTAATTCCTCGGGCCTCTGACTTCTTCCTTGATCGCAGATCTTGAAGCACAGCCTCATCCTTGAAGCTCGGCCCTGACCTGCCAGCGAGGACTATCTGATTGCTATCCTCGGTTCGTGCACTACCTCGGATTGAGCAGCATCAGTATGTAAATTTTGGTTTAATTTTAGTACTTTTACCATCTTCTATTAATTTTAGGCTACCATCTTCACGTAGCCATGACGGATCAGTTCTTTGATCTCATCCTTTAGGTTACGATAGTTCTTAGTGTCATGCCCTATATCGCAATGGAAGTGGCAGTACTTATTTGGGTTTCTATTGGTTGGGCCGCCTCTCATCCTTAGGGGCCACTTGACGTACTTAGTCATCTTGATGTGCATTAAAATTTCCCCTCTTTTGGCATTGAGGGTTGTGTAATTCTGGTTCTGGACTTGAGGAGTTCTTGAACACCAGCCTGACTATCTGGAACTTTGGTGGGGGGTCCTGCTCTTCCTTCTAGGCGACCTGCTTCACCTATTGTGGGGTGACCTGCTTCTCTTCGGCAACTTACTCTTGCGCCTTTGTTTACTGTTCCCTGCTTCCTCTTCTGCTCGCTTCCTCTTCCCGCTTAGCTCTAATCGGGATTCGAGCGCCTCCTTCGCCTTGGTGAACTTGTTGGCCTAGTGGAGGAACTCCTCCATAGAAGATGGAGGGTTCAACTCAACTTTCTAGTGCAAGTCGGGGTGGCGGACGCCGTTGACCGCTGTGGTGAGCTAGACTGTTGGGTCGAGGTTTGGGATCAAAAGGTGCTCCAAGTTGAACTGCTTGATGTAATCTCGAGCGTCTTGTCTGGTTGATGGACCATGTTCAGTAGGCAGGTCGCTGATTTCAAGCACCTTTTGCTGGTGGCATATTGCGTTGTGAAAAGATTCACGAACTGGTTCCAGCTTTTTATGGAGCTCGTAGCCAGCCCTGAGTACCACATCCGAGCTATGCCCCAAAAAGTGGTTGTGAAGGCCATGTAGAGGCTTGCGTCATTTGCCCCATGTAACTGCGTTAGGTCATGAGGCCATAAGGATCTCAGGTGCAAGTAGGGAGGTGCGAGTCACCTGTTGTGTTGCTGGTTGGATGGCGACTTGGCTCACCTCTCCTTTTTTCTCTACCTCCTCGTTGTTGGTGGAAGCGAGGTGGCTTCTCCTAGTGTTGTAGCATACACGTGGGCGACACCTCCTCCTCGACACCTCGGTTGAGCTATTCGCTATTCCCTTCTATCCTAATCAAAGTTGTGCCTTGGCTATGCTCTTCAACCGGGACATGGTCCGGGATCTGGTTGTCGGGCTACTAGTTCTATTGTTGTTGTTGTTAGGGTTGTTGCTAGTGTGGCTGCTACTACATTCATACCAGGGCGGCAAATCTCTCTTACCACTTCCTCATCTACAGATTCATGTCGCGGACATACTGCACCAATTCATTGTACGGGTGCACATCGACCCCAGTAGGAACCACTGATGGCTCGATTGGAGGGAGAGGCGCGTTCACTTGGTGCAGGGGAAAGGTTGGGTTTGGCATTACTGGAATGCCTGGTAGGGTTAAGAGCACTGTGGGCTACCTGATGGTTACAAAGGGGACTTCTGGATGTGCTCCAGGTTGGTCTTGCCCCCTTGTGACCTGGTTTTTGTTGTTGTTGACAGGTTGGTTTCTTGTAGAAACCATTAAGATTTGTAGAAGTTGAGAAAGTAGAGTGAGGGATTTTTGTTGTGTTCGAACAAACGATGCCAATTGATGTAGCACGATTTGGTAGCTCCCTATTGGAGGATAGCTCGAACGTTAGGCTGGTGATGTCGCCTGGTTGAGCTACAAAACAATGTTGTCAGAGTGTTTGGGGTGCTTTACCCGGTGTGGGCACTCCGATGCTTAAGTTAGCAATGTGGAAATTTGAGAGAGTTGAGATCTTAATAGCAATGAAATTAGAGAGATAAATCGTACGTACCTTGTGAGACTAGAGGTGAGGCCCTTATCCGTGGGCCTCATGATGTGTCTTTGAGATCATCGGCTCATCTATTCCGGAGTTAGATCCACACCCGGAGATGGACTCTGAGTAAGATAATAAGGCTTATCCAGGTTTGTCCGAATCGGGCAGGGAGGAGATAAGGTCCATTGACGTATGTTGTGATCCCGAGGAGATTAGAGACAAGTGGGTTTCTTCTAGAAGGGGACTATGTGGCACCTCGATAGGTCGATGCATGTGATTGAGCTACCTAGGCCTCGGTCTAGCTAGGTGACCCGAGGTTGAGAAAAAATATATTCATCTACCATCAAGTAGGAAAATAATTTCACTTTTGGTTTAATTATAAATTTGCATTTCATTTTTATCATTAATAAAACTAATTCTTGTTCATTATACTTATTTTTCTTTAATATGATTCTTATAAATTATTAGAGAGATACTCAAACATTTTCTACAAATTTTTTGTATTATAGATATGCCTAAAATATATTATGCATCCATCTTTATGTGTGTTTTTGTGCGTATGTTTGTCAAAAAAAATCAAAAGGTAAAATCTTTCAAAAGCATGATAATTAGGTCCATTTCACGTATGTGATGTTAAAATTGAACTGACCTCAACCCTTCAATTTAGGAAGTTTTCTAAGAACATTTGGCAAAAGGAAGTAGAGAAATTGGCCAACCCGCACCACATCTGATGCCAAGTCAATCCAAAATGTTCATGTTGGGTTGGGGTGGTGAGCAAAGATAGAATGAAGAGAAGGAAAAGCTTTGTAAAATATTATTCCAGAAGCAAATGAAAAACAAAGGTCCTTCTCTCTACATATATATACAAGCTGACAAAAAAGAATGATGTAGAAAATAACAAACTCTCTAACAAACTTGCCACCTCACCCTATAAAATAAAAGAATAATATAAAGCTAATAACTAACTAAATGATGAGCTG